TGAAGCATCAAGAGCTCCTTGGCATTCAAATGTACGACTCCTTGCTGCGTCTGACGAGCAGCGATGGTTGTAACCTTGGCTTGAATGTCCCAGGTGCTGGTGACATCGCGAATATCGAGCCCCAGCTCGAGCACTAGTGTCTTTGCTGGTGATGAACAGATGATGCTGTTTCCAGATCTGATAGGCCAAGCAGCGTCCACATTTGGTACGCCAAACTCTACGAGCGTGTCGAGCTGCACGCCTTGCCGCACAACGCGCAAAGAGCCAGTAGGTCCTGTTCCAGATGCTGTGATCGCTCTGGCTTGCGCGCCTTCCACGCCAGCAGGCCCGCAGTTCCCATCGTCTACCACAAAGTCGAGTGCTGGTGCAAGACACGGCATTGTGTGCACGCTGTCGAGCCGTGACGATGAGGTGAAGCTGGGGTTCCCCAATGCAGGTGGTAGCCTGACGAGTTCCGAGTCCCCAGAGGCGCTAGCTACTGCAAGTATACCCTCGCCTAGATATGCTAATGCGTCCGGTCCTTGAGGGGCAGGAATTGAACCGAGCTCGCGCACAGTCACCGACATAGGAGTCCAGGGAGCCGATCCCTCCGTCTCGGGCCTTAGAGCCATCTCAGCCAAAAGCAATCTCCCTGCATGTGTGCCAAGAAGTATTCTTAGGCTGGCGGACTGCCCGTCGTCGGCCACACAGATGGCGCTAGCCTCATTTGGCTCTTTAAGCTCCACAGAGGCTCGCACTTGAGTAGCTCCAGGCAGTGCTGCTCGCCATATGCCCGGGTCGCTGCCGGCTTCGTGTGGCCTAGATGGGCTCGTAGGTGTGACGGAAGATGCGCCAGCTGCGGCACTGCTTTTTCTACGCTGCGGACGCTTACCGTTGTCGTTGGCGCTGACTTCAGGACTGGTTCCAAGAGCTTCTCCATTCTTGCCGGACGCAGAGAATGATCTCTCGCCTTTGCTGGATTTTCGTCTCTTTGTCGCAGCCGTTGCTCCTTGAGGGGACTTTCCAAACTTGTTGGAAGCTGCGACAGGATTGCCGACCACGAGGATCGCCTGTTCGCAAGCGACCAGGACCGCGGCGCCTGTGCTTCCTGGGAGCGCGGTGAGGAAGTGAGCGCCAATTGCGTCATTTGGGGAGAGGGGGACGTGCGCCTGTACCAGCTCTGATGGCACATTCTCCGTCTTCTTGTTGATGGCACCCAACGCTGCTGGTCCGTACTTGCCTTGCGGCCTGCCCGAGCTCGTGTCGGATGCTGCGGCCGGAACTTTTGTGCGGGTAGGCCGGGCTGCGGTGCCCCAAGGCAGCGGCGCTAAGTCCTGGTTGGCAGAATCTACCGTGTGGAAAGAAAGCACAGGCAGACACTGATCGCCAAGCCCTGCTATCTCTGTCGGCACCGATGAGACAGAAAGTAGAGCCACGGCGGGAGCGGAAGAGCGAAGGATGGAGTGGGCAATGAGGTGTGGATGTGGCAGCCTAACGTTGCACTCAGCGCGCGAAGCGGTGACTGTCAGCAACATGCTGGTGACGTCTAGCCCTTCAATGCGGTACTACTCACCTGGCAGTCCATCCGGCTACGGGATCGATCTCTTTGGCCATGGGTGAGATTTTGAGCGCACCTGCGTGCGTATGCGTGGTGGCAAGGCCAGCCTCTGGAGAGTAGTCGAGTCCTGTTCCCACTTCAGCCTGCGCCCTGACGCGCTCTTCCAGGGATATCACCTTGCTGATGATCAGATCGCTTACGCCTTCCGCGCCCTCTCGGCTGGGCCTGAAGACAAGCACACGAGGATGCGCGTGATCCGTCAAGACGAGCAGGACATTGTGCTCTGGCACAAAGCTGGCACCTAGCAAGCGTGCGTTGACCGGAATTCGCGATGTCGGTAGACCCTCTTTGAGATACTGGATTAGTAGAGCCGCATGTTGAATGAAGACGACCGCCGGTCCGCCGGGCAGGAAAGTGTTTGGCACGCTCACGACAGCCGAGCAAGCCGTCGCGCCATGGAGGTGCGAGATGTGGTTCATGTTCGCGCTCCGCCAGCAGCGGTCTGTGCCGATGTTCGCGGTGGAAAGCTTGAGACAGTAGCCAGCAGCTCCAAGGAAAGCTCACAGACCAGATTGTCACACGACAGACGAGGCTGTCGGATGGTGTATATGAGGCATCTCAGAGGGCGGTACTCAACTGTGTATAGCGAACCAGACGACTGGGAGAACAGGCAAGTTGCGCGGTCATCATCACGATTTCAGCTGACAGATGCTCGAACAGGCCCTAGGGTCCGTGCAGATCACGTGATCGAGCTCCTTGCCTCTAGCCCGCGCGAATCAAGAATCAAATGCAAATTGAACTTGCCTATGCGTGCCTCTGACTTGCCATGCAGCAGAACGCAGCAACATCTTCGGTGTGGTTGCACATTACGAATGAATGCAGCATAAGAAACAAATCTTTCCCCCTCATCTTTCTTCGTTGCCCTCCAGCGACCTTGGACACTAACGG